AAAAGTAATTTCCATTTAGAAAAATATTTAAATCTGGGTTTGAGGAGCATTCTCTGTCTTTGTTAATAATGGGCTAGGTTATATAGAGGGTAGATTATATAAAGCTTATAGATCACTGTATCATTTTCTGATTAAATTACTGATACACCGGTCTTTATAAGCAAGGCAGCTAAAAAGACATCGGAAGGCATTTATGTGGTGAAAATTTGTATTTCAAGAGTAGAACAAGGAATATTATTAGCTTGAGTCATTTCTTTTTCTCCTGTTTCCCCCCTCACCCCCCGCCACTTTCAGAGAGATGAGGCTTATTGTTTAAGAGATGAGATTTTCTTCCTAGCGCTTGCTCCTATTTCTTCTCTCATCTCATAGCTGGAATCCCCAACCCCTCCAGGGAAATGTTTAAATACTACATAAACGATGTTAATATTTCCCTGTGTGGAATCTGATCCATGGGGCACACATGTCCCCTCAGCCAATAAACATGAAGAGCAATGATGGGCCAGGTTGATCTAAGGTCAGGAGCGGGTGGCGCTCCTACAGTCTCCGTTCTTCTACCCTCATGAAATAAGCCAGGAGGCTCTCAAACTTCAATGCACCAAAACCGCCGGTGAATTTAGTGACATCGTGAACAACAAACTAAGTCATCTGTGACCCAAATACTTTTCACACAAGCTGTGTCTTCACAGAAGCAGTTTGGGAGTGGGAAGGAAGGGTCCAGAGGAAAAATTTTCCAGAAACCTGGATGTTTCTGGAAAAAGTCGACGCGAGGCCTGATGATTCTGACAATGACTTCAGTTATTCCATTTCACATAGCGAGTCTGAAAAACCCTTGCTAGGCCTGGCTCAGACAGGGCCTTACGCATTCATGGTCAGGAGTTGACAGGATTTGTTTCCAATCTTAATATCTGGTGGGGATTCTGTTTTCTGATTTACCTCTGACAGCTTTGCAGAAAGCAAAGGCAGCAATCTCAACCAGCTGCCCCTCGCAAAAGAGGCATAACTTTTAGCGAAAGGAATGCTATGACAGCAGGAATACGCTGCCTAATCTTCAGGGATGAGCTCACGGTGCTTCCAGCAGATAATGAAAGCCCTGCCTTCAATGGTCAGTTCCTGCCATTTGCTGAATGTCTGTTCACGGCAAGTAGCCAACGTAGAGAATGCAAGAGCCATACCCTAAAAATGAGGTGTCCTGCAGAAATCTGGGCCTATTAATTAGGTCACTGTTCATGGTTTCTGCAGGACTAAAGGTTTTATTCAGAAGGATCCCTGGCCACTTACTGATTAGTCACTCCAAGGACAAGCGCATGCAGGAATGGCTAAAGTCAAGTGAAGTCACTGTTGGCTGCACCTTGGACAACAGTGGGAGTGAGGATGGCCTCCTGCCATTTGCAACATTATTCCTTTGAGGATCAGGAGACTGAAAGAGAGAAAGACTTCAAGGAGGAACATTGGTGCTCATAAAGGAACAATATGTTCCTGGTGTATCCTCTTTTAACTAGGTTTTTAAAAAATATCTCTTTGACAGAGCACCAGAGACACTTTCCTGATAATGAAGGCAGGAAAGATGTGCCAGCCCAGACATTAAAAATAACATCTGTGAAGCTCCAGCATGGGTGTGTGTGTGTGTGCGTGTGTGTGCGTGTGTTTGCATCTTACTGCTAAGTATTTGCAACATGCCTTATAGACAACCTCAGAAATAACTACGGAGAAAAATAAGAGTGCTCTGGAAAGAAATGATGCTCAAGATATACTTTTAATTCACGACTCTAAAAAGTGTAGTTCTTCAAAGGTCTCCAAATGTTTTAAAAACCCTTCTCATTTTTAATTTAATTTCACTACCATTTATTACACAACTACTGTGTCCTATGTACTGTGCTGGGTGATTTTACATACAGTAAAATCCTCATAATTATCCCCAAAGTTAGTTATTATTATCCCCAAAGGCATTATTATCCCCATTTATAGATGAGTGAATTGAGAAGTAAGAGGTTAAGTGACATGACATTTTTGGAGGAAAAGCCACGGTATGTCAATCTCCAGTCGGGTGCCTGCTGTGGTCCATAGAGGTGTTTTCTCTTCCTGGTCGGCACCTAAGCTGTCACTGTGCCTTGGATTGTGTACAAGGCTCTCATCAGAGTGAGGTTCAAAATGTCCAGCCAGGGATCTGGATTTCCAGCATCAAGAGAGCCGAGGGACATTATAGATCTCTGCCCTTGAAGCAAGTGTCATCAAGCTATGGAGACCCAAGGTGCTTCACACTCTTGTGGGATGCTCCATTTTGAGACTGGTTTCCCCAGAGGCGTTGCTGTTTACATCCTGGCTAGGATGGCTGTATGCACATGAGATAACCCTACTTTGTCAAGCCTAGATCTGATTAGTTTATATGCTGCCACCCACCCATCTGGCTGCAGGTCTCAATGACAAGCAAATAATATAGAGAATCCAATATGCGGATCCTTATAAGGTGCAGTGGCCCTCAGTGGAATGTAGCCAACCCTCACATGTTGGTGTTGATAGAGGGCTATAACCAGGGCATCGAATATATAAGGGCTATAACTGGGGCATCGAATCAAAAGCACGCTTACACATTCCACACCATGTCACCAAATTGCTAGTGGAATGACTAGATATTTTAGATAATTTCAGGTAATTTAAAAAAAAAAAAAGAAAAGAAAAGAAAAGAAAGAAGAAAAAAAGAAAGTACAAAAATTGATAATGTTAGGAAAGTGTTGCAAATATCTTTGATTTAGAAATTTCAGATGGCCTGAATCATAACTACAATCTCTTACTGTGAAGTATCTGGCAGCAATTCCCTGGGGGAAGGAGGACATTTTCCACCCAGTCCCAGCAGGTCAGATAATGGTGGCTGCCATTTATAGACCCTACCATGTCCAGACTCTGTGCACACATTATATTTAATCCTCACAACAACCCAGAAAATAGGATGTTGTTAACCTCATTTATAGTCAAGAAAGCGGAGGCCCACTGAGGTCAGAACATTATCCAAGCATGCACAGCTAGGAAACGGCAGCCCAGTTATTTCAAAGCTCCAAGATGTCCTAGGTTCTTTTCTCATCTCCTAACTTTTCTGAGCCACCAATAACACCCAACACATTTCCTCTAGACATGACTTCATTTTATTGCCTACATGTTGCCCATGTTTGGACGCCTCTCGCCTCCGATCAGTTTCTCTGCTTATCTCACCCTGCTCCTCCTGCACTAGCTTTGCTCTGGGCAAAGTCCAGCACGTGCCCTCAGTTGGCTCAGGAAACCTACTTGCCTTCCCAGCCCACATCCTCTGCCCTGCATTGGTTCTTTGTTCTTCCGTAGGTGGAAATCTCATCCCCCATATTCTGCGAGGTCAGAGACAGAGGACTGAATGTTTTATTTCTCTCCCACAAGGAGGCAGTCCAGTGGCACAGCAAAATTAAACTCTTCCTAAACTGAATTGACTATGTTAAAGAACAAAAGACAAATGGCAGCAGCTTCCCTGTTCTGTTTAACCTTTTTTACTCAGCCTTTGGTCATCTAAAGGCCAGCAAGATCTGAAGTATATAAAACTGGAAAAGATGTGTGAGAATCTTCAGGCCCCTCAGTGTGTCTTGGCTAAGACAGAATGAGTTTGAGTAGCCAGGGACTGTCCAGGATGGAGCTGGGTTACAGGTGCTCAGGTGACCAGGTCCAGCTACAGCAAAAAACTCAGGCAGCTTAAAATGTATATGTATTTAATATAGATAGCAAGATAGAGGTAGAGATAGATACAGATCACTTAGCCTGGGCTATCGAGGAAGCCTGCAAGCTAGGATGCCTTCAAAAATCACCAGACTTTGACTTTTTGTGTCAGCAGGTGACAACCTCTTAGAGGCACTAACATACCCTTGGTCTTAGTGGGAAAGGAAGAAGAAAGATTCCTCAACTGGAAAGGGGTCCCAGAAGGCCTCATTGCCCCCCAAACTCTCAATCTGACACCACTCAGTGCTCCTTTTTCTCTGGGTAGAGGTGAGGGGAGAACCAAGACTGAGCCTGTGATATTGCAGAGAAAGTACTGATAGGAACATGCCATCCTGTTGTTCAACTTTGGGAGACTTACTTCATCTCCCACGTTCTCTAGCTCTTTGTTTATTTCTTTACCTGTGAGATGAGAAGAAGGAACTAAAGTCAGTGTTTCTCCATATTTATTTAATGTGCACAGGAATCCCTCGGGATCTTGTTAAACTTGCAGGTTCTGACGCAGGAGATACGAGATGGGCAGAGACTCTACATTCTATCCAGCTCTCAGGTGAGGCCCAGGGATGATGGCCCTTTGCATTTTTAGAGAATAGATAGTATTCCAAGTCTTGCAAATGCTTTCTTTTAATGCAGATAAGCCACTAGGAGATTGAAAGGACCCCTTTAGTCCAGCATGAGATCAGTCCTGGTGGGTAGGAGCTGACTGGGATAAGCAGGACTTCTGCTGGGGAGCCCCCTGCATGAGGGGTGAGGCTGGATGCCTGAGGCCAGGGTGCAATGGGGGTGCTGGTACAATGGGTGCAATGGGGGTGCTGGTGTCTCTGGAATGGGAAGGCCAGCAAATGGGAGAAATATAGAAGCAGGATAAATACCTCTTACCTTACATTTATTTTTGAGAGCCCTAGATGCTACCCGAAACCTTTTATGGAACAAAGTGATTTAGAAACAAATAAACTATGGGGTTTTTGTTTTATTTTGTTTCGCTTTGCTTTTTGGTGCTGTTTTACTTGACTGACTTCCATAAGAATTCGGTAAAAACATATTCACAATGGACACAGCTGAAACATGACCCTGGGTCCCAAGTCTCTGACTTGCCCTGATTGCCCTCTTCTGCTCTCTTCTTCATGCTTGGGGGATGTCCAGACCACAGGACAACCCTATTCCTGAGTCCCCCAAACCTTTATACCCTAAAATGAAAAAAATGTTTTTAAAAGCCTCAGAAACTGTAAAGTTATTTTGAGTACAGTACATTTTAATTACATGTAAACAAACAAAAACTCATGACTACATCAAAAGAATTACATCAACAACACAATCAAAGCAGATTTCCAGTTAAATATAGAAAAACTCATGGGCCCATCAGGACCACAATCCTGTACCCCCTCATCAGATTTCTTGATACATCACACTGAACTAGAGGAATTTGCACAGGAAGAGGAAATTCAAAGTTGAAAGAGAAGTAGAAAAAACAACCCACAGAACCTTTTTTGCTGTGTCTTTTGATTACTTGATGCTTGGAAAACATCTAAGGAGTGTATATATTAAGGGAAAACTATTCCATTAAATGTATTTCCATAAACTGCCTTCTCCCATTTATATATACACATGCGTATTTAAAATGGGGGTAGAAATGAACTGATCATTTAGAAGGTAAAGTTATTCAATTGGAATCATTTTTGAGGCTTTTCTAAAAGAGAAACGTGGAGACAGAATATATGGGTCCAAAAAGCTCTTTTCTTCCTCCAACAGCTCCACCTCCCAAAGGCATCAAATATTAAAAATAACAAACACTCTTTGATGATACAGACCCTTCAGATACATTATTAATACTCCAATTGGCCAGAGAGATGAATAAAAAGAAAACATTGTGTTTTAAAAGGAAGACCTATGAACCACCAAGTTTATAGGCAGGGAGTCAAAGAGCTGGGAAGAATTACTATTAGAAATAACTACAAATAAACCATCTTTTATATGCATCCCCATGGAAGGGAAGATTTGTCTGGGTTGAAAAATAATTCTCTGATCTCGATTTATCCATTTAAGCCAATGTCTCCTTCCTCTAGCCTGTGGGAAGACCAGATAAGCAGGAAACAAGACTTGAGTTTAAAGTCCCTTTTACCTACCATCTCCAACTTTAAAAAGGTAACAAATTCTTGAAACAACAATCAGAAATTAAAGACATGCATTTTTTTTTGTTATTTTTTTCTTTTTTCTTTATATTTGGTGTTTCTATCTGCAGTTTTAGCTGATTTCTTATTCACAGAAGAAGTCAATATCCTGGAAAAACAAGAACAAAAACAAAAACAAAATATTGAATTGAGCAGGCTGGGCCAGAAAACAGATTTAGATTCTTTATTTAAAATCAAAGAAAAATTTGGATTTAAGGTAAGTAAAGGTTGACCTCCAAAGAGAATGAGATAATTATCACTTTAAGTCAAAAACTACTTAAAATGAAGGTCCTCACATAAACTTTTAATTTATGGTTATTTGACAGATTTAAGCTGAACGCTAAGAAGCAATGACAAGTGAGTCCCATTTATGTAGATTCGGCGGTCTGAAGCAGGGCAATTAGCTCCAGGAGAATCACTTCAAAGTAAGCTTCTTGCACAGTAGCTCAGAAAGTATCTTTTATTTCTGTCCTGAGCTTACAGAACCCCAGGGAATTTGGAAGAGAATGATTTCTTCCACACATAAGTAGAGTCTATCTACCACAAAATAAGACATTTAAAGATTTTTTTCTAGAATATTTTGATTTTATCAAAAACAGGTGCTAAGTTTTTTCCCCAAACCATGTTTAGCAAATAAGTGTAAACCATCAGTAAGAGTCAGTTAATACTATTTTGATTTCTTTTTTTTGTGATACGAACTCCTTTTCAGGATAACTTGCATCTCAAACAAAAGGAGTACTGTATTGTATGCTTGAAATTTGCTGAGAAGGTAGATATTAAGTGCTTTCAACACACACACACACACACATGGGGAACTACATGAGGTGATGAGTATGTTAACTAGCTTGATTGTGATCATTTCACAATATTCAAGTATATCAAAACATCACCTTGGACACTTTAAATACATGCAATTTCTATTTGTCAATCATTTCTCAATGAAGCTGAGAAAATAAAGAAAAAATATAGTTGAAACAAAAAAAATGTAAACTAAAATAAAACAAAAGGGGATTCTATCGAGAAAGTGCACTAATATTTCAGCATTGACAGTAGATACAAATTGTCGCCCAAACCTCACCATCTCAGAAAAGTCTCTCCATTGGATGTTGAGGCTTTGTTCTCTATATCTTGTAAGTTCTGCAATATATACCTTGTAAGCATGATGCATTTTTAACACCAGCCTACCTTACCCAAGATCTGAGTCCTTCTCTAGGCACCAGTGAGATGCTTACCGTGGTGGGGACTTCCCTGGTGGCTTCCTGATACACACGTTGCTCCTTGACCAAGTTGCTGGGGAAATAACCGACGATCCCCATCTCATCCTGGTCATCGCCATAAACCTGAGTGCCCAGAAGAGTAGCAGTCAGGGGGAGCATGATGTGAGTGTCTTCTGATAAACCCTCAGGCATCCTCTTTGCTGATAACGAGAATTACACAGTGGCCAGCACCTCCCTTTCACTCTGGGTTCCAGGGGCCTTAAAGCCAAGTTTGAAGTTCACTCATGGCACTAGGCTAAACCACAGGAATTGTGTATCTGTTCTTTTGCGGCCCAGTCTTACTCATCTTGCTAACTTTATTTGATGCAATCCTGTGAGTTACCTGAAATCTTTTTGGAATCCATAAATAAATAAGTAAAGTCAGCAATTTTTTTTAAAAAAGTAAATACTGTAGATGCTTTTAAAGAACACGTGTTTCTCAGATTTTAACAATTCAAATGCGCAGATACTTGAATGAATTTATCTTTAATCCTGCATTACTTTAGAACCCCACTTTGGGGCTGCAAATGAGAACAGAAAATCAACTTTGTTGATCCCTCCCCAGCATCCACCCCTGTGTGTTCTAACTAAAGAAAGCAGACTCTTTGGAATTAAAGAGGGTGCAAAAGTTTCCCAAAAGAATACTGAAGCTTAGACTGACTGCCAGCACACATGCCTTCTACTTGGCACATCTTCTCAAACGTTTTTGAATAAGATTTAAACTCTTTGGGACGTTCAAGCCTCCATGTGTTTGTTTTTTTTCTTCTTGCCAAAACATCATATTAACTTACATTTGGTTTTGTCATGAAGTTCTTTGTTTCTTTAAAACGAAATAGTAGCAAATATACCCAAATGTCTGCATTTCCATCTACAATCTCTGCATTGTTCTTAGTAGCTAGGTTTAAGCGCTAACATGGGTTGAAGGTAGGTAATCGAGGAACAATTAAGGGTAATGTGTCAATAGGTGTATATTTTAATTATTTATATTATAATTAATTAATTAATTATCATCTTACACTGCCAGCCCAAAATTCTCCAGCTTCATTTTCTTTTACCAGCTTTGAATACACATAGATCTGCTGCCCTTTTTTCACATTAATGAACCTACAGTCTGGGGCATTGTAGTCTTCTTGAGCTCTAGCCAGAGAAATAGTATCTGGAAGAAAGAAAAAAAAAATTGAAATGACTACATTTTAGGTTCCTGAATTTTATAACAGTAAAAAGGCAAAGTATATTAGAAAAACCAGGAAATCAGAGTAACTGATTCCTCCCAGTTTACAGCTGGAGTCAATTTAGGAAGAGTAAGGTATTAAAGCTACGACAAAATCTTAGCCAAGTGAATTCTCCCTAGTAAGACACCAAACGTGCAGACCAGGAGAAACCAGGCTAATAATGTCCACATTGGAGGAGATTCACTGCAAAGTACAATTTGATTTTGTGCTGTTAGTGGATATATTTTCGATTCTATATTTCAATTATATTTTCAATTATAATAGAAAGATAATGAAAAGCATGAAAAAGTCCTTACAGACACACTCGTCATCTGCACAGAGCTTCTTGGAAGAAAGTCTGTCCATAAACATTCCATGCACGGCACATACGGCCGCAAGACCCAGGAGGAAAAGAGACAGTATTCTTGCCATCTTCCTTTTTTGCTGTTTCGGCTGGCACCCTTTGACTGGAAGTGGGGACTGACTACAGTGAATCCTGCCTTTTATGTGAAAACCAGACTTCTGGGTAACTAGCCCTGGCCAATAAGAAGGGTCTCCCGCCCCTCTGCTCTCGTAACAAGCTACTGGGCTTCAGGGGCTATTCAGCTCAAACTCTTTGTTATACACAAACGATACCCCACATGGTCCAGCATTGTCAAAGCCACTTCAGTTGTGATTTATTGCACCCATCAGCAGGGCATTGTTGAGTGGACTATGAGAATTTTAAACCATGTTTTAGTTTTTAGGTCAACTGTCATATTCTTTCAGCTTATGTGTTAACTGTAGGCATCTGTTGAAAATGTGAGATCTGTATCTTTGGTACAAATAACTTTGTTTTAAACAAATCCAATTAATGAAAATCTGGATTCACATAGTTGATAAATAAAGGATTCTTATGTTTACAAATCCTTCATGATAGGAGTCTTAGAAGTCACGTCTGTCCTGGGCCAGAGATGGATTCTAACACATCCATCTCTGTTGCTGTCATATCCAGATCCTACCAGTGGGAAAAGATATAGGTGGGTTGGAGAAAATGGGACAATCTTTTCCCTACCTCCTCTAAGACTTTTGCAGTTCAGTCTCAAATGCTCATGGATCACAGATCATAGAAAAAGGAATAAAGTTAGAAGTTCATGTGCCCCCCGACCACCCTGATTCTGGGCATCTTTCCCATGGAGAGAGGGATACTGCTAGAATGCACCAAAGTTTTGAAGTGCCAGTACCTAGCTCCATCTATTCAACAAATATTTACTGAGCACCAACTATGTGCCAGGTGCTGCTCTAGGCACCAAATATATAGCAATAAGAAAAAGAAAGGTCCTGGCCCCAAGGGTTTACTTTCTATTAGAAGAGACAGACAATAAGTTGCTGGTTTTTGTAGGATGTTTGAGGCTGTCATCTCTCTCATAAGGTGGCCCATCCCCTGTCCCTACCCATTGTTCCTATAATAGAAATGCCCCGGTCAGGAGGCCCTCTCCACCTTGGTTGATGAAGAGGCTCCAGAGCAGTACCTCCCCTCACCCCCACCCCAAATGTGGTAACCACACAGAATGAGGGCAAGTATTCAACTTACTAAATAATTTTGTGCAAACAATTTTCCAAGGGGTAAACTGGTAAAGCAAAACTGTATACTTATGGTATAATAAAAAGGGTTTTTTTGCTTGTTGTGGGGGTATTGCATGTATGTATGTGTATATGTGTAATAGAGTTTTATTGTTTGTGTGTTTCTGTGTGCATGTAAAAGAGTTTTGTTTTATGTGTTTTATGCGTATGTGCGTGCATGTGTGTGTGTGTGTGTGTGTGTGTGTGTGTGTGTGTGTGTGTGTGTTAATTTTAGGGAGGATCTTTGTACATAGCTGGTCCTGATTTGGAAGCTTGTTTTATTCATTTCCTTTATTATAGACAAGGAAACTGAGGCCCAGCAAAAGCCAGAGCAACCTTTGTCAACCACTCTATCTAAGGGTCACCCAGAGGGATCCAGGTCCAGTGCCGTTTCCACTCATTGCTATCAAATTAGAATTGACAATCTAGAATAAATCGATTATTCGCTGCTTCACATCAAGGAAATAATGAATTAGAAATCATTCTTTGAAAGCAGAATGCCTGCCCATTTTTCCTTTCTATAATCTAGGAGCCTAAAAGTATTTCTGGGAAAACTAAAGCGTTGATTAAATCTTCTTAATCCTGATGGGGCATCTGTTTTACAGACTGCTCCACTCTCAAACCAGCCCTCCACCTGGGAGAGTTAAAAGACAATTGCCATTTAAGAGGCACTGTAAGAAATAGATTGCATAAACTCAGATTGCCACACCATATACAGGCCCTCCAAAGCAGAGTGCAATGGTAAATAAAGCCACATCCAAGCTTTCACCACTAAGCAAATAGGACGAATGCCAACTTGAAGCCATTATCGGGCATTTGAAGGTGGGAAGAAATAAAGTAATGAGATGCTAAGCCTTGGGAAAGCACCCTGGGAAGGCCTGGGAGGTTCTAGCATTCTGTGATGGGCAGAGATAGGATGGAGACTGCTTGGTAAAAATCTTGCTTGCAAATACGAATTTGAACTTGTAGTCGTTCAGCAAGCAGCTGGGCCTAGCAGCTGTGCTCAAGACACTAAGTCACTGGGGGTCCAGTGAGGGCTCTGTCCCCAGCTTGCTTACCTCCTCCCTCTGGATTTTCAGGTGTATTCTTTGAGCCTTCAATCCCTAAATGACAATTTTTCTCTTGAGTTCCTAAATTTGCTTCTTGGTCTGGAGTTGTTAAAATGCAGACTGTGGCTTCTTCAGCGTTCAAGGATAGGCTTGGGCAAGTGCAGCAGGTGGAAGCACAGCCTCTTGCTGGGGCCTACACCATCCTGTAGGATCTTGCCCCTCCAGGTCTTGAATTTCATCTCCTCTCTCTCCCTGGCTCCCTCTGTCCCTCTCGTACTGGTTCCTGTCTTTTGAAAACACTAAACTCTTCTGCTTCAGGCCCTCTGAGCTTATTGCCTATTATGCTTTTCCTCCAAGACAGACCAGTTTCACAGAGCCACTCCTGCACTCCTCCAACCTGAATCCTGTGTCAGGTGACCATGGTACACTGTCCTAAGGTACTTATCACTATCTGAAAGGCCTGCTTCATTTACTTGGTGGTGGTTTGCCTCCTGACACTACAATATAAGCTTTGAGAGGCAGGGTCCCTTGTTCACCACTCTATCATTAGCATCTAGAAAAAATACTTGGTATGCAATAAATAGGTATTCACTGAATGAATGCATGATCCCTCTGAAATTGTATGCTTAGGTGTGGATACATACACATGTGCTTTTTACCCCTGGGGAAAGCCCCTAGCTTTAAAAAGAGATTCATAAGATCCCCAAATTAAGACTCATTGAATAAATCATCAGGACAAAGACTCAGAGGTTTTGCCATTTGTCACCAAACCATGGTCCCCAGACCAGAAACGTTGGCATCACTTTATAGAAATAAAGTCTCTCAGACCCCACAACAGACATGCTAAATCTGAATCTGGAATTTATTAAGATCCTCAAGTGACTCCCATTAAAGTTTGAGAACTACTGCTCCAGGACAAATACAATAAATAATTTTAGCCAGGGCCTCATATTCTTCATTAGGTCTTTACCAGATACATTTTCAAGGGACAAAATGCTTGTTAAATACTCAAACAGAAGATAGTATTCTAAACTGTAAGTTTAGAATAGAGATTTGAACCTTTTGCAGCAGGTTCTAGTTTTATACTGTCTTCTATTTATCAATATACTGCCAATGAAAAATACCATTTGATCCAATGATCTAATCACTATAACTTTATAATGATTACTTATATACTTATTATATTAATATTATATATTCTTATTTATATACTTATAATCATTACTTCATAAAGATAGAAATCTGCTGTGTTAGTGCTTAAGCTTGACTCACATTTAAATCACCCAGCGAACTTAACAAAAAGTTGGGTTACACCCCTAGAGACTGATTTAATTGATCTGGGGTGTAGATTGGGCATGGGTATTTGAAAATGTCTCCCAGGTAATTCTGACATAGGGCCAAAGCTGAGAACCATTGTATGAGATAGAACATCTCCCTCCAAGCAATCACTGCTCAACACTCACACTCCCAATGACAGGTGAGATGGGAAAGGGCAAAAGATCCCAGTTTGATCAAATTTTCTTCAAAGTGTAGCTATCTCCCTTTTCTTTTCCCCTCCTCTCTCTTGAAGCCCTACTTTCTAGAGTTTGGTTACATAGGGGAGATTTGAGCAAAGAAGTAAATACACCTAGGCTAGTGGGACTGGTGAAGGGAGTTACACGTAAGGAAAGAGGGAGACTTGAATCAACGCAGTGCTGTTGGACTGCAATTAGAGACAGTCGTAAACTGTTTTTAACCTGATTATATAGACATATCCAAAGATAGATAGATAATCTCTATGCAAAATTAAGATCGTAAAAGACAAGGACAGACTGAGGAACCAACAGATTAATATAGAAACATGACAACTACCTACATGATATGGATTGGATTCTGGGGCCATTATTGAGACATCAGCAAAACTTGGATTGTATAACATGGGATTAATGTTATTTCTTGATTTTGATGGTCATATTGAAGTTTTGTGGGAGAGTGGTCTTGAATTTAGGAAATACACACTGAAGTATTAATAGGTAATAGGGAATCAGGTCAACAAACTCTCAAATGGCTCAGAAACATTAATGTTTGGGTATTCTGAAGTGTTTATAGGAGTTCTGTGTACTATTTCTGAACTTCCGTAACATATAAATTGGAAATTGTATAGAAATAAAAAATTAAAGTCAAATGGGACTCCTGTACTTGAAATCTAACCCAACATACATCCACGCAGACTTGTATGAGAATGTTCATAGCCACTTTCTTCATAGTAGCCCCATATTGGTAAGAACTCAAATGTCCATCCATTGGTAGAACAAACTGCTGATACAACCAACAATACAGATGAATCTCAAAAGCATTCCAGACAGAACAAAATTATTGTGATAAAAAGCAGACCAGTGGTTGCCTAGGGCTGAGGGTGGGGAGAATAGATTGACTACAAAGGAGCACAAGGGAACTTTTTTGGGGCAAGGGAATGTTCTGTATCTTATGATTACATAATTGCCCAAAGTCATCAAATGGAACACCAACATGGGTGGATTTTATTGTAAGTAAACTCTAGCTCAATATTTTAAGTGCTCTAAAATAGTTCCCCCTTTTCACTCAAGAGTATAAGCAAGTCCTTAAAAAGGCCTACACAAGCCCCTCCTCTTACTCTTACCCCACTTTGGCCACCCAGGCCTTTCTATTTCCTCTAATACAGACCCTTAAAGCGTGACTGGGCCCAGATCAGTTTGTGAAATATTTTCTGTTCTGAGACAAGTACAGAAACTGAGAATAAGAGCACAAATAGAAAATGTAATAGCAATTGACATTGCTGTAACATCTAAGAACATGATCCTTTTTCTAGTAATTCACTGTTATTTTACAAAAGTACATAAACTTGACAACTGGGTTTAAAAAGTTATTTAGAAAAGTCAGACTATAAATGTGATTAAGTTTTAGGAATAAAAACTCATTCTGCTCTTTTCCTCTTTATGTACACAGAAGAGTAACGTGTTAATAATCTGTCTACATGAGTCTAAAAGTGGTCTTTCCCTAGGAATATAATAAAAATTCTAAGTGATAATAAATCAAAAGTTAAAGAAAATGGGCTTTGGAAATATTTGAACATTCATGTTTAAGAATTACAAAGATGGGCCGGGCGCTGTGGCTCACGCCTGTAATCCTAGCTCTTGGGAGGCCGAGGCGGGCGGATTGCTCAAGGTCAGGAGTTCAAAACCAGCCTGAGCAAGAGCGAGACCCCGTCTCTACTATAAATAGAAAGAAATTAATTGGCCAACTGATATATATATAAAAAATTAGCCGGGCATGGTGGCGCATGCCTGTAGTCCCAGCTACTCGGGAGGCTGAGGCAGAAGGATCACTCAAGCCCAGGAGATTGAGGTTGCTATGAGCTAGGCTGACGCCACGGCACTCACTCCAGGCTTTGTTGCCTGGACAACAAAGTGAGACTCTGTCTCAAAAAAAAAAAAAAGAATTACAAAGATGTAGCAGGATTAGCACTGGCAACTCTTTGTCAATCGGTTTCATCTTAAAAGAAAAAAACATTATGGATTGCAAAACCTTTCCCTTGGAGGCTTTCATTAAAGAGGTTAGATATTAACCAAGCATATTCCTTAGGAACAGGCCTGCCTCATGAGGGAAAGGGCATAAAATGCAAAGTTTAAAGATAGCTTTTCCCTTTCCTTCTGTTTTCCTAGAAAATAGTTAAGTACAGTTATTTATAAATGGCCTTTACTCAATTAAATACTGAATGAAAAGATTCGTGGAATGACTATTACCAGCAAAATAACATGCTCATTTCTTTGAAGGATACAAAGAACAAATTTAGATCCTGCTTGGGTTTCATTTTCTTCTAATATCCAGAATGATCACTATTACCATTACTACAATGTCATCCACCACTTTCTGTGATCTAATTCCCCTTAACTTTTAAAACAGTTCAACGTTGCTGTATCATTAGCTGCTCTAAAATAACACTAAAAAAGCATCCTATTACAGAGTTTTATATACCTTAAGACATGTTCTAGACTAGAATAAGCATTTGATGATAGGGCAATGGACCAATAAGCAAAGCGTTATATATATGGAATACAAATAAAAGTTTATTGTACAAAATTAAGGCCTTCACATTTCATAGTTCACTAAGACTAAAAAAAGACTAATTTAAGTCCTTCACAAAAATTTCACTTTTACTACCCTCCCCCAGCTCCAACTATTAAAATGATATAACCAAATATTATCAAAACAAACACTATAAATAACACCAAGTCCTTTAAAGATAACTATCCTAAATGTTATTTCTTGGCATAGGTGATCTTCATGGCATGGGATGGTGTGATCTTAAATCCTTGCAAAGCATCCCTGGCAGCTCCAGCCTGCCCATCATTTTCAAATTCAACAAAAGCAATGTCATGCCTCCCAGGTACCAAACGTACTTCCTTGAAACCAGGGAACCTACAAAAAAGAAAAACAATTCATGTACACATGCAAATACATAAATGTCTGCTTGTACTAAAATTTGTTAAGCAACTTCCCGATATTGGTCAAGGAAAAGTAATCATATCCTAACCAAGAATCCTGAGTAGGGTGGAAAAGCCTAAAATATAATTACTTATACCATTTAAACAACTATAGGAATAATGTAAATGAATTCTGATTTGTATTATATAAAAGCTTTTTATGTTATTTCAACTAGAATTAATAATTCAAACATTAGAGAAAATTTAGCTTTTTATCTACTAAATCTGCAGATTGGCTTCAATTCATAATTAATCCCAGAGCAAATCAATGAACCTGTAAAAAATTACTGCTGTCTGATGACAAATGGATTCAACCCATGGAAGTGCTATTTGTTCTGCAGGATGCTCTCAGAAACAGACTGGTTTATGAAAGAACTTACTGATTAAACAGCATGGATAACATCATCTCATTAGTCTCTTCTGGTAAATTATTAAGGAATAAAATATAGTTTGGAGGGTAATCAGGGACCTATTAAAAAGAAAAAAGGGGCCAAGTTAGCTTCTAAGTATAAACAGCATCATAAGCCATCTGGTTCTTACATTCAAACCTCAGCTTCAGAGCACTACATTCCAGTTTGTACAGGCCTGTGAAATGTTACTACACCAAAGACTAAAGCTGAAAAACAATGACATTGGAGAAATAAATAAAAACCTAACAATAATAAAGCAAAGCAGACATTCAAGTCAAGACATTCCAAATTTGGAAGAGTACAAATCTTATTAAAGGTTTTAAGTATTTAACCAACAGTATGTAAAATAATATTTATGATTTAAGCATCTGGAGGTCAGTTATAATACAAGAATTTTGTCACCTGGATTACATAATTGAATGATCCTAACAAAATTAGAGAAGGCAGCAGTGTCACCCCTCCACAACTGGTTACCACACTCAGGTATCACTCAGATACTTGATTCCTCTACACTACTATTTACTACCTCCCTATGTAAGAAAACTTAGAAAGATTACCACTGAGAACCACTATGTGGGGACTTTTTTTTTTGCAAGTAAATGAGGCATGCACAATATCTAGTTACATGCAAATAAGTAGTAACAAACACTGTTATTAGATATTAAACTCTTTATTCGATACGCTACCCTGAGGTTATGGGGAACTACAGGGAAAGGGTCCCGTATATAAGAGCCTATCTTCAGGCTGGTTTCATGGAAGAGTATAAAGAACAATTAACGAACAACTCAAGGCTCGGAGAATTAAGTGCTGGCATTTGTGAAATGGACTATAAATGCTGAAGAGTTCAAAGAAGGCATGGAGATATTGTAAGAGATGCCAGGTAACTTAAAATCAGAGGAGAAAAACCTCAGTGGTACAGAGAATTCTACAGATTTAAGGATCTTGTCAGACTCTAGCATCCGAGGAAGCAAGTATGAAACCATCAGCACATAACTGAGGTTTTCTCTTTGAGGAATTTAGTGGGGAAATCTAGTAAGGAGTTTCTAAAACATTTATACGCAAATGTTTGAAAAAATTAGGCTGAAATATATTTGTGCTGAGGAAGTAAAAGCAAGGGTAACTATAAAACATCATGGCCCAAAGAGTGTATACGTCTATCAGCAAAGATGGTATAGAGCTTCAGTCAACTAGAATGGAAGAGAGCCCCTGACCTCACAATGAGCCATGAGTCTGTAAAGCCTTTTTGACTTGGACTCAGTGAAACTGCTACTATCTTCTTCCCGAAGCCCTGTAAGCATATCTTGTGACATACCAACTGCAGGTGAGAAAAATCTGTCAGACTGCCAACTGCCTACATTCCACTTTAACTGAAGATGCTTTGGGAATAACATCTAGACACTTCAACAAACAAAACTAAACATGTTTGCTCCTAGCCCTAACAGATTTTAAAATCTGTCATTTTGATTCTGGCATTGATTCATTATAGAAAGCAAGGAATAGTCAAGTTTTGTTTTCTCCCTCTTAAAGAAAATTAAAATGTTCTCAGGAGTGAGTTTCTATATTTAAGTGGCATACAATTTCATGTATTGTGTCTTATAGATGAAATTATTTTGTTTTTGGAGATATGCAAGTTACTTTATATTATTGTTATAATTTTTATTATTTTATTTTAAGGTAAGAAATATACATAAAAATTACCTGAGGATTTGGTGTTGAATTTCCTTGGGTATTAGCTGAATTTGGTGTTCCCTAAACAAAAGAAATAAGGAAACAGTTTAAATTTCTAATCCCTCCAAAAAGGCAGCAGGCATTTATAACTACTGCATAAAAAACATTAATTTCTACAGATTTTTCTCATTCCATTTAATTTTAAGAATTTACACCTTAACTCTGACTCAAACATTTCTTGTGTTTAATTTGTCAGTAATTTTTGAAAAGTCTAGCCTTCAACTTTAAAGATTATATCATAAAATTTAACCTCTAAGCTTTAAAATTATGAAGAATTATATAGGAGAAAAACCAAGGACTAGTTTTTCTTATTTTTTTTTCAAACAATTAGACATAAATCAAGCACTATATGACACTGATTTCTTATCACTTTCAGTCCAGAAGTAATTACTTTGCAGATGACAGTTTCACTTTTATGTGTTATTTCAAATTAGATTTTTGCATTCCTGAATTTTTCAAAGAAAGCAGCTTTAAGTAGAGTGCTCATGGTTAAAGATAATAGCTACAGTATTATTTATAAGTAGCAGAACTTGAGAAATAAGCCAACAGATATTAACATATTTTGCAGAATGATGGTATTAAATGCCATACAAATTCAAATAAGACTGCTTAATATAAATCTCCCTATGTTACGGTTTATGTTTCTTTTTTCTTTTTTTATTTCAGCATATTATGATGGTACAAATTTTAAGGTTTCAAATAATGCCCTTTCCCTCCTCCCCCCACAAGTCTGAGTTTCCAGTGTGACCATCCCCCAGATGGTGCACATCTCACGCATTATGTATGTATGTTTCTTAATACTGAAATTTTAGAACTCAGCCATTCCAGCTTCTAAAATTCCACTTTCTAAACAGACACTGGTGCACACATACACGCCTCAAAGGTCATCTGTCATGCGTAAGACAAGCATCTATCAAGATATTAACACCAAAAAAATTGGGAATTTTGTCTCTCTCACCTGACCAGGCTTTTTGTTTGTAGTTGTTGCAGTCTGTTCCACAGTTTTGGCTTTTTTCTTTTCTTTTTTCTTTTCTTTGTCAGCAAAAGTGCCACGCATTTTAGATATTATATCTGAATCTGTTTTTGCATACTGGATTCGCTGTTTTAATTATTTGAAAACAGGTTACTTCTCATTATGCTAAGGCTGTTTTTACATTAGTCATTAATATTTCAAATTTCATTAAGCAAATATGCTGAAGCTAATTTTAAACACATCCCTAAGGAAATGTGTCAAAATATACTGAGTGCCAAATGGAAATAAATTGTGGCTTATAATTCATAACTTAGACAAAGTCAGATTTAATTGTGTTTATCAGAAGAAAAACCACATATCTTCATATAGGAAAAGCAGGACTTTGAAATATCTGCATCACTGTTTCTCTCCATTTAATAAAAGAATAGAGAAAACTGCATTGGAAAGTTGTCAATCCCTTACCAGTGACTCTCAACAGAAGGGTCAACATGTGTCAATCAGCAGCAGAAGGTATCATATGGAATTTATTACTTCCAATGGTTATAGTACAAAAGACTAGAAATGACTTTCCTTTGAATCTCTTTATAGGAAATGACTTTAATAGTGGAATCAGCTTAAAATTTTAAAATGTTTTAAAAGGAAATAAAAGGATGGTGTCACAGCTAGTGCGACTGGGCTACTTGCTTATTACTGCTATGCCAGAGCCAGTAGGAGTGTTAGGTACCTATCAGAACAGGGAAGCATTCAGACGAGTCCAGGACAGCATTTCATCAACTACACAGTGTGCATTCCAATTGCATGGAAAGCATGTAAAAATTCTGATGCAGTAGGTGTGGGAGAGGACTGGGATTCTGCACTTGTAAAAAGCACAAAGGGTATGGGGATGCTATTGACTTGGGGACTACACTCTGAGTAGTGTAGCCTTAGCCTGAAGCATTATCACAGAGCTCGACTCAACACCAATAAACTGTCCAAATAGTTTTGCTCTGAATTAAATTGTTACCTAGGGTATCTATCTGCAAACTCTTAACTTCCATTTCAAGCACTTTCTTCCCTGGAACTGAAAAAATTACTGCCTTTCTGACCATTATCGACACACAATAGTTCTACAAACTACTATCTAAAATAGCAAGAATTTGATCTCTGTCTGAGACAAGAGACATTTTAAAGTAGTATGGATTAACAAAGCAGGAAAACCAGGAGCAATTTGTTCTTCTCCTTTACTTCAGCGACAGATGAATGTACTGGGGAAACAAGAGGAGAGGGAGCAGGCCTAAGTCCACACCTCAGAACCCCAGGCTTTTTCTGGGTGGCCTGGGTCCCTGTACTACAGTGGCTCTAAGTGCACTTATCCCTGCAAACAACTCTGCAAGTCTTGCCATCATCACCCAACCAAAAGGACAGCTTAGACAAACTTCTGACTTGTTCCCAAGGATTCCCTCCCAACTCCCTTGGGTGTTTAACCTTGTCCCTAACCTGAATTGATCCTGGGTGACCCAATTTATCTGTCCTTATAACCCAGTCACACGTAAAAATATCTGATCTCAGCAACAGTTCTTAGCTAACTGGTTTAAACCAGTAGTTCTCAACCAGAGGTGATTTTGCCTGCCACAGGACAGCTGGCACTATCTGAAGACATTGTTGGTTGTCATGTTATTGGCATGTAGAGGTAGAGGCCAAGGATGCTGTTAAATACCCCAAAATGAACAGGATAACTCCCCACAACAAAGAATTATTCAGTCCAAAATGTCAAAACTGCCAGGATTGATAAATCTGATCTAGACTAAATATTCATGAGAGATCAAAGTTGACCCACAACTTATCCTAAAAACAGAGAAGAGCAAGATGTACATTTATACAAAGGTTTCATGACAAAAGCCCTTAAGAAGGTTCTACTTAACTAAGGTATCCTTGGCCTAAAATAACTAAATGTCCTTGCATCACAGAGAATAACATTGTTCTGAGTTCCAAGCTATTGCAAATTTTGTTCATTTCTAATTTGATTATGTTGGAGTTAAAACATAAGAGCAATTAAAACCAACTAAATAAATATAAAGACAGCTCAAAGAATTTTATTCTCCCTCTTCCAAGATGCTGAAGATGTGACACTATTGTTACCCTTCTAAAGGGAGAGAATGGACCTCCTAAAATAACTTTGATATAAAATCCACTAATAGACCTTTTACATTGATTTTAAACAATAATTAGCTGGCAAGGTGAGGCTGATGCCAAAACACAGCCAACAATTTTCACTTTTCCTGTATTTAAGTAACAGGCACATGCAAACTTGTCATTTCCAATCAATCAGCAAAACAACCCTAAAACCCTCTAAGGGAAAAAACTACACCTTTTTGTTAAAGTAATTTTGGAGCTAAACTAAAACCTAGTCTTATGCTCCTACCAAATGAGATCTCAACTATGCTATTTCTTTATACTACTAAGAAAGATCAGCTGGTTTTATGAAATGCCAATTTACTGAAAAATTAGGGTATCAGGTGTCATCCCAGTTTCCCAGGACAGGCCTTTCCACACAAATGGTGTCCAGTCAGCTGAGAAGTAATGGAAAAATGAGAGGTGGATAAAGGATAAGAAGAAAACTTGCTATAATAAGAGAGAAAAGGTGCTCAGTCCTGAATTAAACATTGTGTCATAGAACAGGAGTAAAATAACACAAAACAAAAATTAAAAGTCAATAAGGAAATCCAGTTTTGTTTTAAATCTTCTAGGTCATTATTAATTCCTAATTTATGTATTTATTTATTTATTTTGAGTCTTGCTCTGCTGCCCAGGCTAGAGTGCTGTGGGGTCAGCCTAGCTCACAGCAACCTCAAACTACTGGGCTGAGCAATCCTCCAGCCTGAGCCTCCCAAGTAGCTGGGACCAGAGCCGGGCCACCACACCCAGCTAATTTTTTCTGTTTTTAGTAGAGACGGATGGGGTCTCACTCTTGTTCAGGCTGGTCTCAAACTCCTAACCTCAAATGATCCTCCCACCTCAGCCTCCCAGAGTGCTAGGATTACAGGCATTGAGCCACCACGCCCAGCCCAGTGTATTTTGTTTTTGCCTGTTTGAGCTGTCATAAATTAAGAGTGAATGAAACTCTACTACTATATTTCTATAAAAAGACATAATATAAGCACAAACCTCCTCTCACACACATAAAAGTAGAAAGCAATAGCTATAGTTTCAAATGTATATATACAAATCTATGGTACCATTAACGACCACCATTAATTTCTCAATTAAAGTGAATAATAAGACTGACTTACCATTGGTTTACCATAAAATGGAAATCCTTGTAATTGTCTCAAAGCATTTGTGGATGATCCCAGTTCCTTAAATATAACAAAGGCCTGCCCCCTCATCTTCATGGTCTTCAAAGCCACAATATCTACCACGTGACCAAACTGGGAAAACAGGGCATATAGGGATCTCTTCAATTCTGTACAAATTAGAGGAGAAACAAGTTATTGGTGAATGAAACAATAAAAAGTCTTCATAAAATTACACTGTACTGAGTGCCCCCACCATTCATTCATTCATTCATTTATACAGTAACGTATTTCTATGAGTAAAAACAGAGTGAAAACATTGTCAGCTCCTACTCATTTTTATTTTTAAAAAGCCTTAAAAATCTTTATATGAAATAGGATAAACCATTATTTCAGGCACTAAGAAAGATGACTAGATGAGAACTTTTGAAGCAGTACAGTTTTTAAGACAGTAGTGAATAAACACACTTTAGTTGTAAACAAACTCAATTACCTTCTTTTTTAATTTTGTCATTCATATTGTTGATATAAATTGTATGATTTGGTCTGATATCCATGTTTGGGTTAAACTCTTCAAATAGCCTAAAGAGAAAGTAAATAATCTGTTATAAACAAGGAGGATTAATTAAATCACACCAAAGTGTGGCACAGGGGCACAACACAAGGGTTATTATCTCTTCAATAGCCTTTTAATCCCAAATGTCAGAAAAATGTCAGTTTGGCTATAGCCTCTAATGCCTCTCCAGCACTTGCTAGCCCTCCTTTTTTAGATAAAAGAACAGTATCTCAGGCTCAAAATTTGGTGGAGCAACAGTACCTAGCCAGACTTTAATAACGTTTTAGTCGATACATTTATTTTTACACCTACATTTCACTTAAGTGATACTGCCTTTCCATCTGCCTAATGAAATAACTTTTCTTTTTTAATGAAATAATTTAAAAATTAAGATTTGAAGAAAAATGAAAAAGAAAGTAGCAAATGTACACCCAGTAAAAATCATTAAGATAGAACATCAATGAAGCTTGGCAACTACTTACTTCATTGGGTGCATTTAAACAAAGAACCTTCATATCTATTTCTTAATTTGTATAAACAGTTAGCAACTTGGAGCTCACAGAGAGCAGTGTGGCATGATGCTTAAGAGCTAGATTCTAGTACCAGCCAGATGGATCTGAACTCAAATCCTTCTTATTAACTGCTTATCTGAGGGCAAGTTCCTTCTTTGAGGTCCGCATCTATAATAAAATGGGATGGTAACAGCACCTACCCAGTAAAACTTAGAACACTAAATGAGGGTTCTATCACAGTTCTTGCAACAGCAAGATCTTAAAGTAGCTGCCATTATTATTATTTTAGTTGTTACTAACGGCTGTAACAAGTTAAAGGACCTGCCTATGGTCACACTGCTAATTAGCAGCAGCCCTGGGGATTCAGCCCTTGCCTTCTTATCCCCTCCACTTTTCTTTCACAGCACCCCACACTACTTCATTGTTTACATTGTCTTTAGTTGCAAATTGTGAACCTGCTTTATTTCCTTGGGTACCTCACATATTCCTTCATCTCACAAATATTTACAGAGCACCCACTGCGAACGGCTTTGCATCAATGACTGCCAAAGGAAGAGTCTGACAGGGGCTGTACTTGTGCAAGTAAGAGGTGAAAGGTAACACTTCTCAAAGTCTTGAGACTCCCTAAATTGAGATTTGGAGAAGGGTCAGGGGTCTCAAAGGAGACGAGAGGGAAATGATAAAAGAGGTCAAACTGAAGGCAGGGAGATCAGAGGGGAGGCTCTTTCAATAGCTCAAGCGAGGTTTGACGGTGGCCTGGATTAGTGCAGGGGCACCCAGAAATGCCCACCCTCGCCCCAATGCAAAAGGCAGCCGCAGGAAGGCACCTGGAAGTGCACAGTGAACTGTAAACGCCTCACACAAGCAAAGGGACATTAATTATTTACTTGCGCCAGCTTCCCGCCTCTCCAGACACAAGCACATTCACCCAGGGCCCCGGCCTGAAGCTCCAGGGAGCGGCTATGCGATTCCCCAGCCCAGCCAGTACCGTTAGGAAAGAAGCTCCGGAGTCCGTGGCCTCGCTGGGCCAGCGCGTCAGGCTCCATTCCTCCCTCCCCCCTGCCATGCGGACCCCTCCGCGAACCCCGAGCCGAATTCGAGCCGACCCTACCTTCGCGCCTCCTGCGCTCCGGGCTCTGACGGAAGAGAGCTGGGCCGAAGAGCCGAGAGAATCAAAACAGCGAAGTAGAAGCAGCTCGAACTCACTGGAGCAGACGCCGTCTTCAGTAAGAACCAAAGCCGGAAATGGAGCTAGGCACCGGAAGTAACCCTGCCACGCTCCTCAATCGAGCGCCGACAAGTCGAGAAGCGGAGCACGGAGTCGATCGAAACCTCCCGGTCTCCGGCGGCCGCGCCTGGGAGTCTCTCTGCGCGTGCGCTTAGCGGGCGGGCGGGAGGAAGCGTCGGGAAAGGGCTTGTGGCGACAGTGTGGGGTCAAACTGGAATCTTGGGGGCACGCTGTGAAGGGATAGGGAAGGGGAGTGAGTCATTTCCCCCACCACGACCTTGCGGGATTTTGCCCGACAAGGCCCTGGTTTCGCCCTCGTGTGGGCTCTGGGGGCCTCGGTTTGACATCAGCTTTAGGACAGCCGGAGCCCCCGCCCCCAAGTCTCCGGTTCCTGCGACTGTGAGGGAACTCGCCCCCGACACTCCGCGGACGGACTTGAATCTCAGAGGCAGCCCAGTTTGAGGCCCAGAATGGGCAGAATTGGTGTCCCTACCCGATTCTCTCAGCTCTCACCAGACACGCAACCGTGCTCAAGTAGTAGGACCCTATCACCAGAAAGATCATCTAGTTCAACTCACTCAAAAAAGCCCCACTAATTCCCTACCACCCTTCCCACTCTTTCCTCTCCCCACAAAATGCCTAGATTTTTCTAGGGTAATCCGAGAAGGTAGGGTTTATGCCAAGCTGAATGGGATTTCCAAAAAGTGCGGGCATTCATTCATCTATTCATCAAATGTGTGTAAAGCATCACCTAGAATATGAAATGGGTGTCAAGAGCCAAGAGGAATCTAATCTTATATCCTCCCTTTAACTGATCTCTCTGACCTTCACTTTCCTCATCTGTAAAATAGGATCATAGTTACTGTGAGGATTAAATGAGCTAAATATAAAATGATTAACACATTACCGAACACAAAATAAATAGTTCATAAATGTAATTTCTAAATGCTAGCTATGACTTTGACATATGGGTGAGAGGGGTAGGGGGCCAAATAGGTTGGTTTTATCAACTGGGGATTTTTATTTTAAAAGGGCACCTAAGGTTGCAACAAGTTGAAAATAATGTAAGTTTCTTAAGGGTGGGGATTTTTGTCTGTCTGTTCACTCAAGTATCCTCAGTAATTAGAAAAGTAACTGATACTCAATAAATATGTTTTGAATGAACGGAACGTCATTTAAAAAGTAGACAACAGTAAAACAAAGGCGATATGAAGATGCACACAAATGTAGAAAATAATAGCAAATGATCACAGAAAAGCATTCTTTTATTATGTATATATAAAAATTAGAAGAAATGTGAATAGTCCTAAAATTAGAAGAAATGTAAATAGTCCTATCTCAGTTAAAGAATTATGAGTGTATTTTTAACAAATTAAAAGAAAATGTAAAGTTAATATAAAATAATTTCTAAATAACAAAGGACAAGCTGCTCTGCACAGTATTATGGGTATCTGAGCAATTAATTCTGTTTGATGATAATGAAGATGGCTAAACTATTTTACTGAAAATAAACTATAATCTGGCTGTATTATACAATTGCATCTAGCCAAGAGCTCACAACTATTGAAAACAGGATAACACAAGACTGTGCAAAGACATTCCACCTGGGAAAAAGTTCTACAGGGAATGCAAATGCCTGAAGACAGACTGAACATCATGTTCCATTAACAACTAAATTATGGCTCCTGTACATTGCATTGTGAAAAGGAAATCATCTAATGCCAACTCAGCGGTAATGGTCTGCATGCTCTTTTACGGGTTCTTCTAAAAAGAGCCAGTGCATTTTCCTGTCCTTGGGCAGTCACGCTGGGCTTTCCAATAACCTGTTAATGGTCGTCAGTAGTTTCCTGAATTATTTTGATAAACCAGTAATTGAAAGCAGCGCTGGGAGGGAATGAAGGGGAGAGAGGAGCTTTTCTGGTATTGTGAGAAGCCTTTGATAGCCTGGTTATATAACCATATTAATAACATTATAGCCGCTAAACTTTGGTCACAGGTTCTGCAAAACAATCATCATTCCTCTATAACCAAATCCACTTCTTGAGGGGCAGATCATGTATCAGATGTCAAAAACTTCTGTTTTTAAAAACAATAGAAGAGAAAATGGGTTTTGTTGGTGTTCTGCTCAGTCTGGCCTCTCATATTTCAGTTAGGCACCATGATTTACTTTCCTGCGAAACAGATTTTTTATCAAACTGAACCCAGAGGCAGCGCTATAACCACCCTATCCAAGCTTCATGTATCTACTGATGATAAAACCTGCTTATTTTAGGGGTAGCAGAAAAATTACTACAAACAGTTGGGAATAAAACTGTGTCAAGACGTCTATATTATAAGGATGATAACTGAGGTGTTTTTTAGTTGACTCTGAATACAAATATATTTTCCTACCTTATCTGCACGTGTTTTATGTTTCTCATTAAATGTTTTCAGTATCTTGCTGCAGAAGTTTTGAGAAGGGGCCGTGTTTAAGGGAAAATGCACCATAAAACTGTGGGGGATAAATTTTGTCTTATTTATATTAGGTAGAGCCACAAAATGTATGGCAATTTGTTTGTATCTTCTTTCTCTCCCCAGGTAGTGATTACATTACGAAATTTATGTAGAGTGAAATTATTTTAACAACAAGCATTAAACAAATCTAGACATTATTGTTGAGCACCAAATCAGGTTTATATTCTCCTAGGTGGTTAGGATTCTGGTAGCCAAAACTTCCTAAAAAGCACCTTTTCCCATTCAGGGAAGAAATAATCTTGTGCAATTAATTTTCTTTCATTTCACTTCAGTATTACTATTTTATTCTTTGTAAATACATTTTTGTTTTATGGATAAAAAAAACAGAAATAGCAATCACCTCTGATGCGTACTAGTGTGTTAATATTAGTGATAGTGTGTCATTCACGTACACCAAAATACCCTGTCCCTGGAATAGGTGGAATCTGAGATAGGCTATAAGAATGTATGCAGTCTATAAAATAGTAGTTTGCCTTTGAATACCTGATAACCAATCCAAAGACATATGGGAGGAATAACTAAACTTTTTACTGTTTAATATTTTGAAACATGTAGGTTGTGCTCAGTACACTATTGTCTGCCCTGAAGTCAGCTAAAGTAACATAATACAACTGCCATTCCCTTTGAGAGCAGAAAATTAATATGCCAGTCCTATGAGACCTCCCTCAACAAGCAAAGTATTATGCAGATAAAATTCTTAAATACAGCAGATTTTGCATCTCCTATAATTTCCCACTGTAAATGTTCTTGAGTCTTAAGTTCTATGACAATTTGAAAATACAAATTTTAAAAGGAAAAACTTTTTTTAAAATGTTGGACCCCAATTGTGTAATTTCAAAAATGATTTGTCATCATTGAATTCAGGGCCATTTCCCAGATAACCTAATCCAATGCTTTTTCAAATGCTAACATGCACATGGATCACCTAGGAATTTTGTTAAAATCAAATTTTGATTCAGTGAGGCTGGAAAATGACCTGAGAAGCTGCACTTGTAGCAAGGTCCCACATGATGCTGATGCTGTCTGCCCCTCACCACATTTTGGGTAGTAAGACCCTAAGCATTACCTCAAGAATGGTTGGTAGATTATCCCAGTATCACACAACAGTTAGCTCTGGAGCCCCAGAGATACTATCTGATACAGAATATTATCTTCTTATGCAAACATAAAACAACTATTTCTTTCAATGGATGTACTATTTATTTGAAATGTTCCTTTATTTTAACTGCCTTCTACTGGGCATTTGGAAATAAATCTGAATCGAGAGTGCAAATGTTTGGAATTTTTGTTCCCTTTTAACAAGTGATTAGTTGATTGTTTATGAAGCCCTGGGTCACTTTCTAATTTATGGCAGTCATTACAGCTGTGTACAAATATTGTGATTCTTGCTCCTTCCAGGCTCATGGGGCGGGGGTTGGGGGCAGGGGGGGGGGAGTGGTGACTTGCACTACTCTACATCCTTTGAAAATTGTCACGGTCATGGAACTGCTTTGACTAATGAAGTATGGGAACATGAGATATATATAACATTGTTTCCAGGCAGATGCTTTAGGAGCCCATGCACAATTTGCCAGATGTCCTTTTTCCTGTCTTTGTGATTTTGGAAACATATCCCAAGAAGGAACCTCCATCAGGCTCATGTCTCTAAGTAACTACAATGACTACAGGATTTCCTCCTCCCACCCAACACACACACAAACACACACACACACACACACACGCACACACACACCACTTCAAAACAATCATGTAATATAAGCAATAAATGATTAACTGAGATGTAGGGGATATTTGTTAATAGAGCATAGCCTAGCCCATCCTGACTTTATACACTAATCAAGACCACCTCTCAGAAATAATTCTTAGAAAGTTTGAAAGAGTTTCACATAAGCTATTTCACAACTATAAACTGTTTTTGAGTTCATAAAAGGTTATATATTTGAGGTGACTCATACCTTTTAAAGAAGAAATCAAAGTAATCAATGTTTAACTGTATAATCCATCTTCTAAGTGACCTTTATTGAGTAATTTGACCCCACATTTATTTTTTTGAAGGATAACTTTTATTATTTTTGTGTACAGAAAACAACAGTGTACATTTAGCCCAGTTTAGTGGCAAGTTCTTTAGCCTTTGCCTTTTCCAGCTTGGCAAAGCGAGCCACAGATTTGGGGCCCAGGACATTGCCTCCCAGTGATGACGGATCTCATCATGTCTGTCATTGTAATCAGTCCTGATAGCTTCCACCAGCTTAACCAGAGCTCCTATGCCCTCCAAGTTACCCTTTGTGAAGGCAATGGTGGTGCATGTCTTCCTGTGGACTAGATACCCAGCCTGGCCTTCCCACTGATAATGCAGTAAGGGACCCCCATCTTCCAACACCTCTCAGGCAAGAAGGCAACAAGGTCAATGGGATCTACATCATATGCAAACACCACCAGCTGAGCCTTCTTGTTAGCCACCAAGGTGGGGACAGTGTGAACCCCTAGAACACACAACCACTCTGCATGAGCATTCATGGGTGCTGCTC